CAGGGGGGAACGCCACAAGCTAGAAAAAGTAAGAATCCTCTCCAAAGCATATTTTATATTAAGGTGTATACAAATAAGATTGGCTAGAATGAGAGATAAGCCTAGAAAAATATTTTCACACACTGAGGGGAAAAATAAAGGCAATCCTCTACATATATCTATACTGTTTTCTCAGTTTTCCAGAGTTATCCCTTGAAGATACACAAAATATTGAATGTCACGAGAATAAAAGTTAAAGCCTGCAAGTTGACTGCTGCAGATAAAATGGAGAAACTTGTTATTTTGGTTGGCCTGATGGTCCATATTTTTTTTTAAACAGATGCCATGTTTAAGTAGCCTTCTCAGTGGGATGCCAGTTTTACAGGCTTTTGCGAAGTGAAATGGGGCATTCGTTTTGTTATTTCTTTTAACCTTTGGAAATGATCTCATGTGTGTGTTTCTCTTTTTTTGGACTTGTCATTCAAATGTTTAATTTAAACATGTCACATTTGATATTCCTCCTCCTCCTCCTGTCCTCACCCCCATCCACATGTGCGCACACTGCGTGGACTGATTGCCCCTTTGGCCCATATGTTGGAATCGACCAGGTAGGCCAGCCCTGCCACTGGGGCATTAGTAAATGTGCCTGTGCGTGGGTCTCGGTCCAACACAGTTGATATACATTTGTTTACCTGTTATAGTTGCAAGTTGTACAGGCTGACATTGCCTCGATCGACAGTGATGCTGTCGTTCACCCGACAAACACTGACTTCTACATCGGTGGTGAAGTAGGTAATGCCTAGCCGGGTGCTGCCGAGTGTGTGTGTGCATGGTCAGTCGGCCGCCGCAGACAGCTTGATTCTTTGACAGCTATGCAGGGCTGCATTCATTTCACACTTCCAGCCGTCCTGACCTCCGCAAGGTCTCCTGTCCCTGGGTTGTAACCCAAGATATACAGCTAGCTGTCAGCCAGCATGCGTCATGCAGCTCATAGACGGGCACTCCTGGTTTGGAAACTGGTTCAACAGCAGCATTTCTTCACTTGCTTCACGAGGCACAGCTTTGGTGGAGACTGGGTTCAGAAATGGTTTCAGCTGCAGGCAGGATACAGTCAGCTAGGCCCAGTGATATCCAAGACAACTTCTGTGCCCTCTGAGGGATAGACATGAACAAGTGCCTGTGCACAGGTCTCTGCCCCCAAACATCAGTCTCCAGGTTAGAAGCACACTCATTTCTGAAAATGGCCTTAAAGCCTCTGGTGTGCACTAGGAACCCTTTTCAAATGCTCTCCCACATTCAGGATTCTCAGACTTTAGGTACATAAAAACTACCTCATTCTGATGTGTTGGTCTTAGACCACTCTTGAGAAACACTGTCCTAGACCCAGAAAGCACCGACCTCTCCCCTGGCAGCTGACAACGCATTGTTGTTGACTGCTGGCCAAATATTGTGCCAAACAGCCAAGGCTAGCTGAGCCAAGAGCACTGGGGTGCCACGTTCTGTGGCTGCAGATTTGTGGCAGGAGCATCAGATGGTGCCCTGCTTTAAGAACATGCTGAGGGGCTTATATAGTGTGATAGAAAAAAGCACAGCTTTGGAGCTAGGTAGAAGGAACTTGAATTCCAGCCTCGCCATTTACTAGTTATGGGGCTTATCTCCTCAATGCCTTGATTTCTCTATGCATAAAATAATGGTAATCATGAGAATTACATAAAATGGAAGCAAAGCACCTTGTTTTTTGCCAGGCTCCTGACTGGTGCCTACTGTTTAGTCTCTCGTGCGTGTATATGATTTTTCTGGTAGTCATGAGAATTACATAAAATGGAAGCAAAGCACCTTGTTTTTTTCCAGGCTCCTGACTGGTGCCTACTGTTTAGTCTCTCGTGCGTGTATATGATTTTTCTGGTAGACGTGATGGTCCTGAGAACAGCATTCTGAGCGTGGATTCAAATACCAGCTTCCAAGGAGAATGGTTACATTTCTAATAAGCACCAAGTGACGTTATCTTGAAGGATGAGGAGATCATGGTTTTCACAAGGGTCCCAGACACTGGATGTGCAGTAGCTCACCAATCTGTGGCTGTCCAGCTCTGTTCAGTATCACTAGCAAAGCTGTTCACAGTCTTCCCCGGCCACTGTGATTTGGGCTAATTACCCTCCTGGGCATTTTGGATTTTGGACATGGATGGAAAGACAAACTTGATGGAAAATCAGGATTGGCCAGGACTGCCAGGCTAAAATGAAACCAGGCTATAGGCAACTAAAATAAAATTCCCTTTCACAAGATTTTAGAAGAGTTTAAGAGCTCCTAAGTCAGGCAGCTTAAGAGGAAGATGCTTCCTTTCATAACCAAATGAAAACTTGATGAGAGAGAAGTACTTATTTAAAGAAAAGTAAACAAAAGAGGAAGGCTGAGTGACTAAGGCCTAGGTTTATCCTGCCATCCAGGACATTTGGTGAAGTGGAAATTATGAAAATTCCTAGGCAGGGCCGGCCCGGTGGCGCACTGGAGAGTGCACCGCTTGGGAGTGTGGCGGTGCTCCCGCCGAGGGTTCGGACCCCATGTGGAGACCGGTTCCCACTCACTGGCTGAGCGCGGTGCGGGCGCAACACCGAGGGTTGCGATCCCATTACCGGTCAGTAAAAAAGACAAAAAAGGGGAAAAAAAAAAAAATTCCTAGGCAAAAGTATCTGAACTCAGGTCCAAGTCTAGGAGAAATCTGGCCAACCTGCTGTGGCTGTGGAAGGCATGTGTTCAGGATTAGCCACACCAGGAGGTAGAGCTGGAAGCTTTGAGACAGGGCTGCAGCCTTGAGGAGTAACAGGCAAAGCCAGCAGTGCCACCCAGAAGAGCCCAGTTTCTTCCTGAGCTGTAAATGGACTGGTCTCGGAGTAATAATGGTGGTAATGCTTTTCCTCTAACATGCCTGCCCACAACCCACTGATATGCACAGGGCAAGGATTATTAGCCTCCGTGGCAATTAAGCAAGTCACACACCACTCACTGACACTGTCACAGTTGGAAAAACCTCAGCAGGAGCAGACATCCCAACTGGCAGAGGAGGAAAGACTGTGCCAGGGCCAGACCCAGTCTTCCAAAGCCCACCTCAGTGCGTTTTCTGCCCAGCGAATCAGTCCAAACTAGTACTGACCCCAGACATCTTTTACAATCCCAAAACAATGATAAACCAGATTCATACATGGCCTCAATTGGTTCCAGCTCCCACTTTGATGTGTGAGAGGGGAAAAGAGGAGCTAGTAATCATTCCATCTCTCATATTTGGTGTGAATTCCTGAGTCCCGAGACTGCTGGAAGAAGGAATCCGAGTGCAGGAATGCTTAGCCCCAGTGATTAACTTTTACCCATCAAAAGTTCTTTCTAACAGTGAAATAGACCACAGGCTTAGCCTGACATTTGTCCAAGCCTAAATTTTTGCTTAGGCTGTTTTGAACACTGATACTTATGCCTGCTTTCTAAGCATGAAATAATGTTTTTGTTCTCATGGGAGTAACACATGTTTATGCTTGGGGGCAAATAAACCAATTGCTTTATGATTAACCCTGAAGTAAAGCCTAAAAAGCAAGAGTCTTACGTTATAAGTGTTGACAATATGGTTGAAAATGGGCCTGTTTCTTGTTAAAAAGTACACGTGTGTCTACATGAACATGTGCATACATATGTGTGTGAAGGAGTCAAGTCCTGACTGGGTTGATTGCCTGCAATGTAGGGTTCAATTTTTAAGTTTGGGAAATGCATTAAGTGTATTTTAACTTGCAAATTTCACTTCTAATTAAAGCAATATTTAATTATAAGTAAAAATTTTAAAGTAAACACTCTTCCTAAGATAAAACACCTTTAATTATAAATCAGCTCATTTTCTTAAACATTTTATATTTTAGAAAGGAGTTGATAGTCTTAATACAGCACTGAGTTTATGTTACCTTCCAAATTTTCCAGTTCTCACCAAAGAGTTGATATGGTAGAGAATGAGAACCTTAAATAGTCTGGCTGATAGCATATTTGTTTTCCTCCCTCAAGCTTGAGAATGGGTCTGGAGGGAAGGCTAGACCA